TGCCGCTCGAGGGTCTGCTCTCTCGGTTGTGTTTTATTCGAAATTCTGAATGAAAAGTGGGTTAAACGAATTCGACAAAAGCGTCATTGAGGAACAGGGCGTAAAAGTGACGCACGAAACTTGACCCAGATCGCGGACAATACGCGTTTAGCATAGCGAAATCGCCGCCAGCTGTCGATTCTTCAGCTCGGGATTGCAGAGCAAACTCGATTCCAGATATATAGAGGCGAGACGAACCGCCACGCTCTCTTCTAGGAAGCTCATTGACTTGCAATTTCTCGTTACGTCAGATTCTGTCAAGTGAAAAACACAGGCACACAAATACACGAACAGTCAGGGAGCATCGACCTCCGATGTAACTTCATCATCTGGCTAGTTTTTTCTTGAAAGAAAGAAAAGAAATTTCTTGAAAGAGCAGATGATATCGTGCTTGAGACGAAGATCAAGAAGAAGCTTGAGGAGAAAATCGAACTGATCGAAAATCGTCGCTTGGAGATTTGAACACTGGGAGGAATTTCCAACTTGATTTCATACTGGATGGAATATAGAATTAAATAGGTACCTTTCGTGTGACGTGATAAAAATTACTATCCTCTAATTACAAGGTAATTACCTGTGTGATGCCACCTGGATGTTAAATCGAACAATTTCGAAAATTCGAAGAGGAAGATATGAAGGCTCATACAGGACACGAAGAATTTAAACATAAAGAAGACTGATGATTAGACAAAGAAACATTTCTTTAGCCTAGATTAATTATAGAATAAGATATATTAAGATATTGTTAGTAATTATAATTGTTTCTGATATACTTAGTTAGTGATACATTATTCTTATCATTATAACTAATTTTAGTTTTCAGTTATTACTAAATTACATATTAATTACACTTTCAGTTATTCCAGTTACTTCCAGTTTTCCGCTATTACCAGGTTAAATGAGACTTTCTAACCGTCATAATTACTCTTAGTTTCCAACTCTACTTCAATATTTACTTTCAATTTTTGGTCATTATTACTTTAAATTACTATCATGCTACAAGTCGAAAATCTCCTTTAACAAAAAAAAAAGAAACAGAGAAAGGAACTCCAAGCCTGAAAAATTCATCGCTCCAACCTCTTTCTTTTCACACGAAGATTACGCAACACCGAAAAAAAAATTCGCTTTCCAAAGCGATGACAAAGCTTCATCAGCCGTGTTAAGCAAAGGGTTGCGTAAATCGTTCGTTAATTAGGCCGATTAGAGCGCGGTTACGCGGCGAACGAAGCTACGATTTCAGCTGGAACAAAAGGTTGCCTCGAATTGTTACGCGACATGTTATTCAATCGTTGGCGATCGAACGATCTCCGCTCGGCTCTGTTACCCAATGACCGGTCGGCCGGCTACTTTCTCCGTGACGAGAGGAGAAAGATGGCCATCCAACGATCGAGATCTCCGCGTGATTTTCCTTGCCTCTCGCTTGTGTACTTGCCTCGAAAACCACGTCATCGAACCACCGCAACGGGGCGCGACGTTGGGAAAAACCAAGTGGAATCGAGTGCAAGTGGTTTTAGAAAGTCGTTCGACGCTCGAATCCTATCGCGTCCGGAGCCAATGTCCTTCCGTTTCTACGGACAACCGCGTCCATCTAGCTTTCCAATTTTATTCGTCGGTAACACCGACATTTTTTTCTTCCTCTCTAATTATGCTCAACTCGGCTTATCAACCCAACGAGGACCAAAGAAGAACTAATATTCATAGAATTCAATTAATTTGATCTTGAAGTTTTCGGTCTGAAAATTCTCGCGAAATACGATAATAAATTATATTAAAGTTGTCTGTGAACTCAGTTAGATACTATTGGGGGGAGGGGATCAATGTCAGAAAATTTATGTAGGTTAGGTTAGATTACGTTTGATGGACGAATATTCG